ATGGCATATATTTGCGTTAATGTGCTGAATTTTAAAAGGTAATTAGTTAGTCTTAGGATGCCCAGACGTCCCCGCGGTTGTCATTTTGGTTGCCTCCGGGAAAATTCAGAAAAACTGTTACCTGTCCCTGTCCCTGTTTTTTTTTTTTTTTTTTTTTTTTTTTTGAAGATGTATTTTAATCAGATTTACAGTCAAACTAAAAATGTCCCCTTTTTTTCCAAAATTTTGGGAGTCCCCGGTTTTGGTCTCGGCCATTTGGTCTTAGCTTTAGCCGCTATGCCGTTAAAGCGCTGATAATTGCAGGCACACATTCGTGAAAATGACACCATTATGAGCTTAATTTTACACCTTGACCGACCATTTAAACACTCGCTTGATTTGTATGCTCCCAGCTAGCCATCATCTAGCAGTGTCAATCACTGATGCCACAACCTGCAGCTTATCTTTTTCATTTTTGAGCACCACTATTTGGATTGCTGAACATTGCAGTTGCTTGGCTGTTAACAATTAAGTTAGACACTCTCAGAAAAACTTATTTTTGTGTTTTAATGGCAGTTGGCAAACTTAACGGTGCATTAACGGTGCCACCTCTCAGAAAGACAAACCTATAGCAATAACATTCGAGGACGTAGGTTATATCAGAAAACGTCACGATGAGAAATAAAATGATTCGTCAGATTTCCCAGCAGGCCGTGCTTTTTTGTAAAAATGGAGAATAAAACACAGTCCAGGCAAACTAATTAACTCATTTTGGATCCAATTTTTTTTTCTGCATAGATAATTTCTATGAGGTGTCAGACACTGGCGTAGGAACCGGGGACGTGTCCCCCACAATATGGAAAAATGCGGCATGTGTCCCACCCAAAAAAATCCATACCTAACCTACCACAGGAACAAAAACTGTACATTTGGAACTTTTATTTTTAAAGCGCGACAAAGAAGATATACAGTTTTGCCAGCAAGTCAAACCCAGAGTCATAGTTAGGTTAAACCATTAAACCTTCCCATTTCATGTTTGAATAATCACCATTCGCTTCATATTTCACTCATCACCGGAGCATCTGATTGGTAGAGAGAAGTAACATTACACTAGAAACGCACCAGCTTTAAACTGGAACCTACATGATTTATCTAATCTGACAGTGTTATTTTTGTTATTAGCTCCATAATGTTACTTATAATATCACATACCTTTGTTTGCAGTTTGAATAAATAATAAACACAGCAGTTTGAACTCTTCTTCACTTTATTATTATACCACACATCAGATCTCCAAAATCCCGCGACCATACCAAGTGCGCATGACCCATCTACGGCAAGCCCCGAGGGGAAAAATACATTGCATACACACATACACGAGCGCTAGTACATCATTACCGGTGTTAACAGACTTTGTTGGATTATGTCATTTACAACCCAAAAAAGTCTGTTACAATAATAATAATAAAAAAGATTTTGAGGACAGTTACACGTTGAGAAAGTTGAGAAATAATAATATTTTTAAACAATAATTGTCATTATTGAACCCTTGCTCTTATTTTGTTTCTGATTTCTGAGCTTTATCATTATTTTAGCAAATAATTTATTTTTATATATTTTGACACGGTTTGTTTTAAGAAGTTTCAAAGAGTTAGTAAAAGAGTTAAGTAAAAGAAATAGAAAATAAAATTAATCCATTGTTTCAGAGGCTCGGACGAAGGAACTAAAAATACATTTGTGTTCACGTGTACATCCGAACACTCGACGGCCATGCTTCGACTGCGCAGCTCCGTCTCGTCTGTCACTGAACATGGGCTGGCATGCAAATATTTGGAGTCATACATATTAATGATCCTGACTTTTACGTCAGAGTCGGTATTATGTGGAGATTCGCCTGTTTTTCAGGGGTGTTTTTCAAAAACGAAGTAAGAAGCAGAAAATAATGATGTTTGAGACTCACTGTATGTCCATGTAGCCTACTGAACTCTTGTTATTTAACTATGCCAACATAAATTCAATTTCACATTACAGGGCACCTTTAACGAGTAAAATATTACTGAAAATCGATTAGTAATGCCTTACACTACTGCGTTACAGCAAAAATTAATGTTACTATAATGTATTACTTTTGTAGCGCGTTACTCCCAACACTGCACAAGCACAACCCTGCTAATCAGTAATGCTGTTTTCCAGGTGCAGTGCGCAAATGTGCACTGACAACAACTGCAACAGAAGCAGAAATCTGGAGGCACGCAATTCGGTGGTTTGCACTTTCGGCAGGCAGGAGCGGAGGGCGCCAGGAGAGACTGGCGCGTCAGCAGCAAGAGCAGCAATTACAGCTGCCACTGCACCCACACATTGATTTTGTTTAAAGGAACACTCCGACTTTTTGGGACTTTAGCCTATTCACCTTACCCCCCAGAGTTAGATAAGTCCATACATACCTTTTTCATCTCCGTGCGTGCTATAAGTCTGTTTGACGCACCCACCGCTAGCCTAGCTTAGCACAAAGACTGGATGTGAATGGTTGCAGCTTTCATACTAATCCAAATGAGTGGCAAAATAACGCAAACGTTTTCCTATTTACATGTTGTGATTTGTATAGTCACATAATGTACAAATAACAAAGTCAAATGAGACACAGACATCTTTTAACCGTATAAAACCTGGGAACTATTCTCTGAAGGCGAAGCACTGCTACTTTGGCGGAGTGAACCGCATCACCTGAGACACGCGGTGGTGAGGAGCGGAGAGTTCGCTCGGTGTTTGGGTGACAGAGTCAGCAATTTATAAATAGTAAAAGCGTAGTTTAGAGTCATGGGTTTTCGCTCTATTGTAAATAGCTGCGACAGTAAACAGGGGAGGTAATACCATGTTTCACAGAATTCCAACTAAAAACGCTGACTGGATGAAGAAATGGCTAACTTACTCTGGATATTTATCCAAACACACCTAAGATTATCAAGGGACATTATGTTTGCTCGGTACATTTCAATGAGGACGACTATTTTGAAAAAATGGAATTTGCCACACGGACCATAATGTGCTGAAGGATACGGCTATCCCATCGATAGCACAGACAGGACAAGTGGATCACCTGCGGCTGAGGTAAGTGTTATGTTTTTAGATGACCTACTGTAACAGTGCCTTTAGCCAGATCTAATGTAACGTTAGTGACACTATTATATGATTAGGGTATGAATATGTTTTTATCTTGATGCGGTGCGGACGCGCTTGGAAAAAAACGAGCGCGTTCACCGCGTTGAACTTGCACCCTGCGCGCCTAGCCTAAATTTGAAATAACCATGGAAATCACGAACTTGAGCGTGCAAAAGGGTACGATAGGCTGTGAGTTCATTGTGCAAAAACAATTTGTGCTATTACTTTCCCCTTATTCTATCCTATAGTAATGCAATACTGTATTATATAGGCTAATGTTGAATACATTTGGTTCAGCTAATAAATTGCATTTAAAATATATTGATTCCTGTAATAATAATTATTTATTCATGTGATATTTATAAATCTGGGTGCGTTTTTGGTTGGAAATCAATGAAACATGGTACTGTATTACCTGGTCTCCCCTGTTTATTGTCACAGCTCATACAATAAAGCAAACACCCATGATAAACTATGCTTTTCTATCTAACGTTAGTAATTGCTGACTCTCTTACCCAAACACTGAGCGAACTCTCTGCTCCTCGTCACGGTGCGTCTCAGGTGATGGTTATCACTCTGCCCAAGTAGCAGTGCTTCGCCTTCAGAAAATATAGTATTTATACGGTTAAAAGATGTCTGTGTCTCATATGGCCTTGTGACTATACAAACCACAACATGTAAATAGGAAAACGTTTGCGTTATTTTGTCACTCATTTGGATTATTATGAAAGCTGCAACCATTCACATCCAGTCTTTGTGCTAAGCTAGGCTAGCGGTGGGTGCGTCAAACAGACTTATAGCACGCACGGAGATGAAAAAGGTATGTATGGACTTATCTAACTCTGGGGGGTAAGGTGAATAGGCTAAAGTCCCAAAAAGTCGAAGTGTTCCTTTAAGTGCATGTTTATTTGTTTTTTGTTTTTTTGTTAATAGCCTGTGCGTTTTTTACCCGTTAATTAGGCTATATGTTTGTTGTTGACTGTGTTCTTTGTTTATTGTTGACTTTGTTCATTGTTGTTCATTTTTATAATTAAATCTATGAATTCGTGGTCATTAATTCTGTGTTTCTTAACTGTGTTCAATTTGTTTTAGTATGCGTTTTAATCATTAAAATGATTTAGTTCAGCCATAGCCTAAGCCTGCATTTCTCCAACTAGCCTTTATCAAGTCAAGTTAAGCTTTTTATTATAGCCATAGCCTTGTAGTGAAAAAATTTTTTCTGGACATTCCACAGACTGTGAAAATGTAGGACTATGTATAGCATATAGGTTACTATAATACCCAAACTGACAATGCCGAAAATAAGGCAAAATGACAATCCAGTGGTGATTTAAGCAGAATCGTAACACATCCGGCACAGCTCCGGTAGGCGGAATCGCTTCACGCACCCGTTACGCATCTGTAACGGGATGATCAGGCGGTGCTGGATCGGCGCTGGCACATATCCGCAACAACCCCTAAAAACAGACCAGAAACGGCTTCGGCCCGATGTGCGTTTGGACTCAGGAACGAGTCCGTGAGGCGGAAGCGGGCCAGACCCGGCTTTATCGTTTTGCGGTTGCGGCCCTGTTCCGTTACAGCGTCCAGTGGCTATCTGGGATGTTATTCTGAGTGTTTGCTGCCACAGTTACCGAAGGCTATAATAAGAAACATCCCTCACCAACACAGTTGGCTGTACTCGGCTTCATTCGAGTGTTTTCGGAGCTCTTCGCCGACCGTCTCTAGTACACCTCCCTCCCCCCCGTCCTCCGCCCATCATTGCCAGACTCTCTCGGCTTTATGTCTGGCCGCTGTGAACGTGAACTGCCATGCGCGGTCGCCATGTTATCGCGCTCTCCTCCCCCTTTCGGGGACTCGTCACAGGCTGATAGCACTAGCACAGGCTACATTACAAGGAGGCAGCTGGTGAATAGGAGCAGAGTGGGAGAGAGACATAGCGCTAACACAGGACTAAAACAAAAGAAAACACGGGATGGAATAAAGCAGGGCAGCGCTGAGTTGCTCAGTTTCTCTCTGTCAACTGACGCTGGCTGAAGGACTTTGTTTCGTTTGATTTCGTGCTCTGGTGACGGGTGATACAACAATTGAAAATGCGCCTGGCAGTTTGAACTGTGATGGGGAAAGACGCTGTCGTTGTAAGGTTGGATATCGATCAACTCGGCCGTCTGTGTCGTCTCCTTCACGTTTAAACTTCACTGTTATGCTGTGCTGAATGGTTTTGCGAGGATATACGATTTGAAAACAACAACAGCTGAAGCGAAACCGTGTCGGCTAGCTCGCTAGCGGCTGTTAACTTAGCATTGGCATTAGCCTGCTCCTCATGGTGGACATTTAAATACCACTTCAAGTGGAATTATCGTGGCAGTTAACGTTGCTGGAAAAGTGTTGGTTTTATGTGGAAATTACTCGAGCGGCTTCAAGTTGCTTCCCCAAAAGAGCTTGTTCTCTTGAGCTGTATTTATAACTTTGTCAGAGACTATCCTTCAGAAATGAATCACCACGACCGATCAGGAGACCCCGGCAGCGCCCGAAAAATGGTTTACCCCGTGAGCTTACCCAGACGGGAAAGCAGTAACAGCACGGTAGGTGGTTCCTCCTCATTGACAACTTCGGGAAGCACCAGCTTTAATAGCAACAACTTAATGCTAGGGGACGAGTATCCACCACCGGTGCTGATTCAGTCTCAAACACCGGCCGCATCCTCGCTTGGGCCTCAGAACCCTCCTCAGAGCCTCAGTATCCCCTTGCAGACCACTATATTTCCCCAAGCTCTGCCCACTGCAGTGGCACAGATGAAGAAGAAGAGTGGCTTTCAGATCACCAGCGTTACCCCTGCTCAGACATCTGTCAGCACCAATAACAGCATTACAGAAGACACAGAGAGTTGTGACGACTTGGATGAGTCCCACACCGAGGACTTATCATCCTCAGAGATCATGGATGTGTCCCTTTCGCAGAACAACAATGCAGGAGGACCGGAAAGGAGCTCCTCAGAGGAGACGCTGAATAACTTTCATGAGGCGGAGACCCCGGGGGCCGTGTCGCCCAACCAGCCACCCATCCTCACCCAAGCACACATGCATGGCACCATGGTTAATGGGACAGTTCACCATCATCACCATAATCCTGCTTCTTCTAAAAAAGCCCCTCCTGCTGGTGGGACACAGATTGGGAATCCTTTGGGAGTTGCAGTCACATCTTCAGTGACTTCAGTAGCTAGCACAGGCCAGAAAATGCCTTCAAATGTGGTAGGATTGATTGCGAATGCCTCTGTTGGCACAACCAGTGTCGTCGGCCAGCCTTTGGCTACTGTCGCCTCCGGAACTGGAATGATCTCTGTGACTTCAGGTGCCACAATTAGTACTGGTAATCCTTTAACAAATAATGTTTGTATGTTAAATTCCACCAGTGTGCCTGCAGTGGGTGGCAAGAGTACCAATATTAGCAGTGTAAACTACTCCCCTGCTTTGAATAGTATTAGTAACCAAACCGTAAACTTGACACACATTCCCAGTGGAATAATCGGCACGAGTGTCACCGCTGCTCTGACAGCTTCCGGTGGTGTTGCTCCGACAGGCGCAGGGCAGGTGGGGCCATCTGTCGTAGGCCAGCATGCAGTGCCTGCTCCCTCTGCCCCAGTGATGAATGCTCATCCTCCGCAGGCCCAAGTGCCTCCTCCTGCCTCCACCAGCTCACGTTTCAGAGTGGTCAAATTGGACTCTACTTCTGAGCCTTTTAAGAAGGGTAGGTGGACGTGCACCGAGTTTTATGACAAGGAGGTCCCGGGTGCGGCGTCCTCTGAAAATGCCCCCAGCACCAGAACGGTCGAAAGCATTCGCCAGTTTGTGCCTGAGAGTGTTGTGTGTCCAGACAGAGAGTCTGTAAGTGGGGGTTCTGTCAGCAGCTCGACCAACCATTACACAGACAGTCTGGGTAACGGAGAGACTGGTGGCTCCTCGGCTGCGAAACAGACCTTCCAACAGCCCGTTGCTCAAAAGCAAGACTACTCCTCTTCCAGCATGTCCATGTCTCAGAGGCAACCCCAGGACTTAGTCCATGCTCACCTTAAGACTAATGCAGTAGCACCAATGCCGGCGAGCATTCAGCAGCCGCCGCCAGGAACTATCGGCGGACTGCAGAACACAATCGGGCATTCGTCTACAGCTGTGCCCACACATATGCCCAAACTGACATATGCCCAGGCAGCACAATCCTCTCCTGTGGTGACCCAGCAGCAGATTGGCTATTCGCCCGCACCAGCCCAGGTAGCACCAGCAAATGTTAACCCCTTAATCCAGGGAGGCAGCCTACCACCTGACTTCCCTCAATCTAAGCAGGTCATGAACACTGTGCCACCTGGGTCAACACAAACACTGCCCCACCTGCCCGCCCCCATCCCGATCGTGGCTTCTCAACCCTCTGCTGCTCAACCTCTTCAGCAAGGCCTCCTGCAGCCACAACAGGCACCCACCGCGCAGATGGTGCAGATCGTGTCCCAGCTGGTGCAGTCGGGCACCGGTCTCGTACAGCAGACCCAGGGGCAGCAGCTCGCCCCTCAACCCTCCGTGGAGCAGCAGTCACAAGCTCGTGGCACACAGTTTGTCCCGGCCGTGACCTCATCAGGCATTCCTCCTAAACTTCAGAGTGATTCGCAGTCCGGTTTGATACAGAACGGCTCAAAAGAGACCGGGCCGCAGCCTGCATTTATGCCCAGAACGCTGGAGGATGCCCAGCTCCTTCTGTTACAGCACCAGTCTCTGCTCATGCAACCCAAGCCAGCCGGTGGTGAATGTGCCTCCCAGATGGGCACTTCCCGTGGTCCAGAGGGAAGCAGTGGAGTCAGTGCCTTAACTGCCTCCGCCAGCCTGCTGAAGAGCTTACCTGTGGATGGAGAGGATGATGGGTAAGTTTCAGTACTTTTGTTTTTCTTGGCATTTGCTTATTCACTCTGTTTCCAATTCATTTGCCTTTGTAATTACAGTTGGAATAGCTTTATTAAAAATTTGATTACACATGCAGGCAGTGGATCATGATCAGTGATATGGCTTAATACAGTCCTATAAACATAAAGGGTGGTGTTGTGCTTTAGATAGTGATATGGCTTAATACAGTCCTATAAACATAAAGGGTGGTGTTGTGCTTTAGATATCACAGCGACAGGTTTGAAGCAGGGATTTAGGCTTACATATAGCATAGCTAGAAGTGTTTTTTATGACAAAACTGTAGACTGTTATTGTGGTATTACAGATAGAAAGATGAATGTTTTGCACTACAAAGTATGTCAGCCTGCCTTTAAAGACCCCATGAAATCACTTCAGATGGCTGTATTTTTGTACTGTTGACATTCACTTTGGGCCAATAGTCTTTTGTTTACACCACAGCCATAGTTAGGCTGGATGTAGGTGTTGTAGTGGGAGGTTCTTTCTCATTCTAGATAGAATTTGATTGGACAAAATGATTGCATGAGTCATTATTTTTGGTCTATTTTGTAAAAGAACTATTTGAAATGTTAAATGTGTATATCAGCTAAAAGTGACATTTAAGTGTTACACTAATATAAAGGTGGCATCTAAGCTAACATTTTATGGACTAAAAGCTGTATGCTTTTAAGGGCTCAAATACAGACTAAAAATTAGCTTGCTGCAGATGCTTTTTTTCTTTACTTCAAACTGTAACTCAGTTAAACCCAAAATAGATCACTGATGTGTGTCTGTGTAAACTTAGCCTAGGTTGACTCTTTTTTGCATACAGATAGCAGTGTACTCTTTTAGTAGATCTCAGCCTTTTTAAATTCCAGAAACTTTAGCTTCTGTCTACTTTTTTGTTTTTACTGCAAGGCCAAAAATGTAACCTACATGAAAGCAAGTTCTGCATGTCATACTATAATCCAGGTTGCAATGCATACACACTTTTAAACATACTGCTAAAACGATGTGACAATTTTGCATTCATCTTAAGCTGTTCAGAAGAAACAGGCATGCATGTTTATAGAGTGCTATATGTTTATGAGTTGTTCATAAGTAAAGTTTCCTGTGCTTGACCGTGCTTGTCTAACAGATGTCTTACTTTGTAATCTTACACTCTTTTTTGAAACGGACAGTTTTGTGTCAGTGCACGCGTACAAGTGTGGCACCACTTCTTTAAGCAAGATTATGACTAACACCTGAGATAATGCTTTTATTGTCTGGCTTTTCTCTATAACAATGTCAGATCACAGACCAGATCTGTTCAGAACTATATTCAGACATGTAAATTAAAATGTGGTGGTCCCAACAAGACTCTTGCTGGGAATGAGATCTCGCTTGTATTGCACTTAATGACCACATACATTTTTTTGTCAGCCACAACTAGATGGTTTTCTAAATTGGTGGCATAGTTTTAAGACTTTTAGCGAGATTTTATTTTGATATGAATTTGCTTTCAAGTGGCGTTAAATAAGGGATTCCCTTCCCTGGAAGGTTCATAATTGTACATGCAAAACTTTTCAAAATATTTAAAATATTATTCACCGAGTTTATAAACTCTTTTAATGTTAAATCAGATACTTTTAAATGTTGGTCTAAACACTCTAATGCTTGTTAGTAGTATTATAAAACTAGTCTAATGGCCAAATTAAAATCATCATATGCTAACACTTTATTGTGATGACCCATCAGACATTCTACTAATGGCGCTTTTCCATTAACAGTACCAACTCGAATCGCCTCTACTCAGCTCGCATTTTTCTCCGTTTTCCATTTCAGACAGTCCCGCTACAAATAGTACCTAGTCGTAATAGCGACGCCTTTCGTTCCTCGTTGCCCCATCAAGCTCGCGCTGGGTCCTCTCTTCGGCAACCAAACAAAAGGAAAGTCTGCACATCCTCGTTTGACCACGGCGTATTGTTCCGAATTGCCTTGATAATAGTAGTAAGTTTAGTAACCATCTCTGGCCAAACTATTTAAAAATGGCGGGGGTATTCTGGATACTCCATCTGGCGCAAGTGAATGGTGACTATTCTGTCTGCCCAATCAGCAGTCGGCATTGTTTTCATGTTACATTTTAGTATCGCCTTTATCTCGCTCAGAACCTCGTCAGAGGTGATTAGAGAAAGTACCTGAAAGCAGGTACAGGTACAACTTTTACACAGTGGAAAACCAAACAAAGGTGAGTCGAGCAGAGTCGTGTCCAGTCGAGCTGGTACTGTGTAGTGGAAAAACACTTTTAAAAACACTTACTGTGTAGTGGAAAAAAACTTTGCAACTGCATGTCAACTTACACCAAACCCTAACTTAAGTCTATTATAAGTTTACTACGGTCTCTACTAACTCGCTATTGAGAGTTAGTTGGCATAGTTGCAAAGTTACTTAGTAGAATGTCTAAAGTGAACCATTGAAATAAAATGATAATGGTGTGTGTCACCAGCAAAATTATTGCAAATATGTCCTGAATATTCAATATATTTCCCAGACCTGCAGATAGCCATGACCAATTTTGCTGTTAAATGTAACTTGGCATGTTGATGACTGCTTGACACTTTTAATATCCTTTGAGTTTAATCATGTGATTGACACATCTGTTGGATTCAAGTCCATCCTCCAAGGTTGGCTGTCCTGTGGGAATTGTCATGTTGTGTCTCATAGATGTGCTTTTTAACCAGTGTCATATTTTCGGTGCGATTGTGTTTGGTTGAAGGACTGTAGGACGGCCTACAAGAGAGCCAACCATTCAAAACAAAATACATTTTCCTCTCAGTACACAATCAATTGTATTTCAACCTATTTCTGAAAGACTATCAGCTCATGCTGTTTTGGTGTAAAGCATGAGGCCACTTATAGGCTACAGGATGAGATCGTTCAGTTTTCTCCCTTTTTGCTCTTGCTCAATAACAGATTAAGTCGGCACAAATTATTTCAATGTTTTTATTATACTGTTCTTAGGTCACAGTGTACACTGGCAGCCTCATATAGAAAGATTATCTCACATTTCCTTTTTTCAATGTAATCTGCTCTTGGCAGTGATAAAAGCCACACATGTGAGACTCAATGAATCACTCATTGTGTAGAGATCAAGTAGATTATCTCTCCAATTAATGACCGTGTGGAACGGGATAGGAGAGGAAATGCTTTCACTCGGCCAGATCGGGCCAAAGCAGATAACGTGGCAGAACGTAAAACGGCAGTTTGTCTATGCTTTCTCTCTTGGTCCATTTAGTGATATTCATTCTCTCCCCATCTCCATAACAGGGATAGTTCATTTAGAAATGAAAATCGTCATTTATCTACTTTTTTTTTTTTCTCAAATACATTTTTTCTGGGTTTATTTTTTATGTTGATTCCTAAATCCCAAGAATAGTATCTTTGGGGCTATGCTGTTTTCAGTTGATGAATGAAAAAAGCTTTGTAGTGCGCCTCCAAAATATTGCTTTAATGTGGCATGACCTATCGCTCTCGTCGTAAAAAGTGAAGTGGCAGCGCGCCGCGGAGCACACAAACCTCTTTACTACTAGTTATAGCATGAAATAAACATGAATTAACACCAGATGGTATTGAAAGATATACATTGACTTACTGAAATGTCTCATGAAATCGTTCAGTTTCAACTGCTGAAAGACGTCAATAAAACCGCTTGTAAACAATGTTGCATAATATTTACCTCAGAAAAGCCATTTAATGTTCATAAACTCATTAGTCAGCTAAAAAAACGTCTATAGAAACAATTCTCATTAAAAAAAGTTGTTATTATTGTAACATTATTATTATTATTATAAAAACTTCCTGATGTGTCACGCCTGGGAAAGAATATGAAAGCCAGCAGATTGAAACCTGAAAAGAGTTGAGACAAGCGCAAATGTCTGTTGTGAATGTGAGAAACCAGTTCAGCTGAGCTCATGAGGTCTCTGCCCCTATTAGCTTTCAGTCCCTAAAGTACTTCGCTGTGCTCTCTGCTCTCAGGTTTGGAAGGACAGGTTCTAATCCAAATGACATCATCCTAAAAAAGAAAGACAAAAAAAAAGACTTGCATACAAAGAGCCTCCTCTGGAAAAAATACTTCAAAGAACAGGATCTTGTCTTGCATTACAGCTGCAGAGCAACCCTGATGTCTGTAATTTGGCTAAAAAAACACGCAGATAATGAAAATGTTATTATTTATTCACCCCCTCATGTCATTCCAACCCTGTTTTGTCACCCATCTGGGTCCCACTTTGAAAAACAAGTCGTTTGCTGAGCCTGGTGTCAATAAAAGCTTTTATTGGACTAACAAGAACGTTTTTAGTTCTGAAACTTATAGGATATTTTTATATGATGACCTCTTAGATGTCAAAAGCTCAAGGAAAAATTGATTTCTCAGTTCATCACCCCTTTAAAATTGAATTAAACCATAAATATCCATTACATTGTAAACCGTGAAGACCAATTGACATATTACTATGATTTTAAACTTTAACCTTGAATGCTTTGGTGCTTCCTAAATCTCCTGATTGCCATTGTTTTTCTCCCATAAATCTCTGATTGTTAGTTTTCTGAATACATGATAGGTACATATTCAACATTCAACAAGTCGCATCAAAATTGTTGCGTTGAATGTTTCTTTGGCCATGTTCGACTCTGTTCAGTTGTCTAGAGAGAATCTCATCTGAACGGCTGCTAAGCAACACATTCACATGTAAACAGTTCATTATTTTGAAGCCTCTAAAAAAAGCGTAAAGGGAAGTGCCAAAGCGCAGCAACACGTTTTATTACTTGTAAAGCATATTTGCAGAGTGGATATTTTCATCTGGCCCATTTAGCCAGCCCGATTTAAGTGCTCTCTGAACAGCAGAATGGAGACCAGGCAAAACAACCTCCTGGCTGTTGCATTGTCATGTTTTAGCCGACTCCTTTGATCTGCTGGGTAAAATGATTGCAGTGCATGGCCTCCTTA